TGTGAACTTAATTTGTCGTTTATGGAACCGCTTTAGCCCCGATTGATTTGTTAGGTTATTTCAAGTCAGGTTTTGGACTTTAATCCCAGTTCTTTCTCGGGTCTCCGTGGTGTTGTGATGCGTCATATTCACGCAGCAGCGGTGATGAGAGAATGCGCTTGACAAACAAATACATAAATCACAGATTATTGGTCACTTTCTAAATAATAAAAGTATAGCGCATCCTCTAGTAATTATATATAAATAAATCGGTTTTTACCGATGCAAATATGTTAGAAACGATGCATCGCGATACAAATGCCGACTTGTAGCCGATATACACTTTTTAAACCGATGCATCGCATCGATAACTTTTTATGCCGATGCATCGAGCGAATCGGGGATTCTTCCCATCCCTAATACTCACTAGTGTTGGCCAATCCGATTCTTACCGAATCGGTTCGTTCGGACAAGTGAACCATCACGTGATCTCACAATTTTTGCCGTTCACACTGCCAGCGACACACAGCGACAAAGTGACATGCTCCCATTCATTTTCAATGGAGAGCTGGCGACTTCCGGCGACACGAGCGACAGTGACCGTTGGCGACAGAATGTGGGCATGTCAAGCGACAAAAGTTAAGAATTGTTTAACTTTATGCAAATAAACAGCGAATTTCGCGAGCGACAACCAATAGGGGTGAAGAATCTGTCAGTGGTGCTCACACGTCACCATCTCGAGTGCAGGCAAGACAGGACAGATTTCCTGAGCGATTTCACTGTTTTATATGATTTTACTGTAACCACATACATGGATATAAAAAATGATGCGTAGAAAAAAAACCGTTGGCTGTCTAAGTGAGTTTGATTCATACATTGATCGTTCGAGTTGTTAATTACATGATGCAGTGAGCAGTTTAGCACCGGTTTTATGATTTAATGCACGAGCACTGCTGTAGTTTATATAACAACACTCTCCAACAGCAGAATTTAAGTCTAATTCCTAGTCATAATAGAATGGTATCTTAGTTTTACCGGCAATATACAGTTTGTGATTGCATTTTATATGTCCAGACGTGCAGTCTACCAATAACATTAGAGCTACAGCAGTAGGAACGCCCACAAGCGTCTTCACAGCACGGAGTCTAGCGACATACCGGCAATATACAGTTTGTGATTGCATTTTATATGTCCAGACGTGCAGTCTACCAATAACATTAGAGCAGGGGTGGCGAACTCCAGTCCTGGAGAGCCGCAGCCGTGCAGAGTTCAGCTCCAACCCTAATTAAAACTCACCTGCCTGTAGCTTCCTAATAACCCTTCAGACCTTGATTAGCTTGTTCAGGTGTGTTTGATTAGGGTTGAAGCAAAACTCTGCAGGGCTGCGGCTCTTCCCGGACCGATGTTCGCCACCCCTGCATTAGAGCGACAGCAGTAGGAACGCCCACAAGCATCTTCACAGCACAGAGTCTAGCGACATACAGCGAAAAAGTCGCTGGTAGTGTTGAACGGGGCTTACTTTGCTAGGAAAAAATTGCAGAAATTTTGCTAATGTGACCACACTTTAAGGCTTGTATCAGGCATCATTTCAGAGTTATCAGTCATGACTAGTGAATATATTAGACTTATATTTTGTCTCTGAGCTTGTTAGTAAAAACCCTCCACTCTCTCCTGGAGGGAGTTTCTGAAGGTTCCTAGACAGCAGACTGCACGGATCATAACATTAGATTACAGCTGCCTGTGGTGCTTTGTGTCCTTTTTCTTCTTTTTTTTCTAATGTCCAATTTTGTCTTTAGTCTGGTTTTAGACAGGGCAACTTTTCAGACACTGTTGCCCAGCAACAGGCAGGAAATGGGCCGCAGGTTGAGATATACAATTGTTATTTTGGATGTCAACAGATTTTGCTCTCCTTCTCCCACTTTTATTTTTATTTTATTTTATTTATTTAGTCATTTAGCAGACGCTTTTATCCAAAGCGACTTACAAATGAGGACAACAGAAGCAATCAATTGTAGTATTAAAACAACTAAAAACAGATCCCAAACTAAAAGCTAAAACTGTATAAATACTACTTATACACATTTTAAAAATAAAGAAATTAAATAAAAATGACAAATTAATAAAATTACAAAATTTCAAAACTTAACATTTAAATGAAAAACAAAAAATAAAGCTAAAAACAACTGAAAATATTAAAGAACAAAAAGTATAAGAGTATAATAATGATTCTAACATTAACACTAAGCCAAACACCAAAAAAACAACTACATATATGTGTATGGCCGTCTAACAGAATACTAAATTAATTCAGCTGGACACACTTTCTTTATTTTTTTCCCAACAAATGGCCAAGCAAGCGCAGACACTGACAAGATACGCGGTACAGAACGAGACCAAACACGATATCAGCACGTCTCCACACAGTAAACAAAACAAGCGTTTCCTAGCAACGACAACTGCACTAAACACTAATGAGACAAGTAAATACACTTACGAGCTGCTTTTAACTTCCGCTGATAATGACTGCTTCTCTCAAAGAGTATTTCTTTACACTGTTTTCTGCTGGCGCTTGAACACACTTTCCTTATTTTTTTCTACAACAAATGGCCAAGCAAGCGCAGACACTGACAAGATACGCCATACAGAACGAGACCAAACGCGATATCAGCACGTCTCCACTTGTGGCCATTTCCACGAGCGCAACAGTGTTTCTAGAGTTACTAGTGTGAATATGTACTATAATGGTGGTACTGTTCATATCTGATGGATTCTTTCTGTGTGTTTGTGTGTGTGTGTAGGTTACGTCAGGGTTTAAGTGTAAAACGATTTGTGCTGGCCTGCCCATGGCGTTTCTGGAGCCGTTATGCTCTATCTCTTTGATGGAAGACAGTGAACTCCGGCAGCTCGTCTTGGAGATTCTGCACAACATCGTTGATCGCCATGACAACAGAGCCAAACTCAGAGGGATCCGGTATGGATGCACACTTAACACCCTAAAGTGAATGTGTGAAAACTAGGGCTGTCAAAAGGGAATGCGTTAACACCTGCAATTAATTAAATTATTTAACACCGTTTTTAATGCTGTAAATGCATTTATTCAATTTGACATATAACTGTTTCATTATGTTCTGTGGGATTCGTAAAACCTCATTAAAGGAGCTGCAGCACAAGTGGGTTATGGGTTATTCATTTATACATCAAACACAGATGGGATGTTTACCTTCTTTTTTGTATTCTTTGTATGTTGAAATTCTTTTTTTAACATAAAAATTTTATTTACTCAGTGTTGTTTTAAAAGTCAGTATGTGATCTTTCTTTTATAGACCATACTTTTTTTTTTATTTAAGAAAGCAAATGTGGATGAGGTCAAACTTTAAAATTTTATTTACTCAGTGTTGTTTTAAAAGTCAGTATGTGATCTTTCTTTTATAGACCATGCTTTTTTTTTTATTTAAGAAAGCAAATGTGGATGAGGTCAAACTTCAAAAAGTACACAAAAGCATCATAAATGTATCATGAATCTAATCTGTATCACTATAGTACAATATATTCCACTATTTTTGCGTGAACTACTCCTTGAAAGAATTATGAGATCAATCACAATTAAAAGATTTACTTGATTGACATACCAGTTTTATTTTTATTGTTGATATACTGTTATAGTATCTATTAATAATTTGTATTAGATATTTTTTATATATTATATTATTATAAATTTAGTTTAAGTAATTTTGTTGTGCTTTTTTTGTATATTCGATTTTTATATATTTATTGTACATGTAGTCTAAGTAATTTTGTTGTGCTTTATGTAATTTTCCTTAGTTTTTTTTTTTTCAATCAATAATTTTTTTTCAATATTAGTAATTGCAGTGCTTCTACTTTAACATTAATATATATAAATGTGTAAGCATTGTAAGTGTAAACATTAATATGTAAGCCTTATTTCAATTAACGAAAACAACTTTTAAAGTTTAATAGTTTTAGTTAACAATAATATCATAACTCTGGTGTCAGCAGTTTTAGGTGAGAGTGTGTGTTCTGATGCATCTGCCTCAGAATAAACGCTTACTGAACCATTTCCTTTGTGTTTGTGTGCAGGATTATTCCTAATGTAGCCGCTCTGAAGATCAAGAGAGAAAAAATCTCCAAACAGGATGTGGTCTTCATGAAAAAGGTACAAGACTTCATAAACACACACAGGCGTCACAACTACACACGCATGGAACCGCAGCTCTGAAACTGTTGATCTCTCTCCCTCCAGCATGGGCAGCAGCTATACAGACACATCTATCTGGGCTGTAAGGAGGAAGATAATGTGCAGAAGAACTTTGAGCTGCTTTTCACAGCTCTGGCATTGATCACTATTGAACTTGCCAATGAGGAGGTGGTGATTGATCTCATACGCCTGTCCATCGCCCTGCAGGTATGCTCACCTACACTGACATTTCTTCATTTAGCAGACGCTTGCATCCAAAGAAACTTAGCAGAAGCAATTTGTCCAAGATTTCCTATTTGTTATGCTTATCTGTGTTTTGATTGGCTGAAGGATATGGCCCTGGCCAATGAGGAGAACATGCCAATGTTTATTCGCTGTGGAATCATGGCATTGGTCGCCGCATACCTCAACTTCCTCAGTCAGATGATTGCAAATCCCCCTTTCTGCCAACACGTGAGCAAGGTAAATGTGCGCACATGCTTATGGCACACACGTATCCTACATACAACATCCTGTAACTCCTTTTCTTCCTGTCAGGTGATTGAGATGAGAAATCTAGATGCTCCGCACCTTCTGCCTGAACACGTCTTCAGAGAGAAGTGTGTGTGAGTATTTCTGTGAATGTGTTTGTTCTTAAGGAGAATATCAGTAATCAGCCAAAATTAGAGTTTTTTTATTTTATTTATCGATATCAGTCGATATGGGATAATTAATTATGCTTACCTTTGGCTTCATCTATTATTCACTTAAAGTTAATCTTTAAAAACGCTGATAATTTAATAAAGCTATTAAATGTAATCTTTAGCTGAACTCAAAATAAATATCAATTTTTTCATGCCGTACATTACAATGTTGTGATTCTTGAATTTACTGTAGCCTTTAAAATGAATGATTTATTTTAAATGTAACCTTTTTTTAACCTTTTAATAGCTTGAATCTGTTGATTTTATTAATGTATAATAACAATGCCATAACTCATTCCAGGTCTCTTTCCTTGTGTGTATCTGTATGTTTGTGTGTGTGGATCAGGCTCCCAGACTCTTTAGACCGGGACGACGTTGGTTTGTATTTTCAGACGGCTGATCTGGCAGAAGCTCTGTCTGTACCTGGATATAACGTAGAGAGACTAGCTGTTCCGTACATACCGCAGGTTACAGGTAAACACTAATCTGTGCTGTTCAAGAAATCAGACGTTATCTGATTTAATTTAATATTAAAGATTAAATCTTAAGCAGCAACATTACATGCTAATTAACCCTATATTGACATTTAATTTTTTAATACTTTAAAAAAAAAAATATATATGAAATAGTTTTCTGCATGTGAAATTACTTTTTTGCTGATTAGGCAATAATACTGTTAATTAAAAGTATAGCATTTCCCTGTCCAATCAAATCACAGTGGGTAAAATATATATTTTTCTCATTGAATATTTCATTTCAGATGAAAATATGTCACATTATGAAAATAAAATGATTGTGAATGCCATTTCGTGCTGTCTTTAAGCACTTAACCTTACTTAAAGCTGCAATACACTACACATCTTTTGCCCGTATTTTTGGCCTGATCTGCTGCCTCTATGTCTAGTAGCTGAAAGTCATAGCTAGCCTGCAGATTTTGGGCAGTAGTAGTTGACAAATTTAATTCCATCCAGTCAGAGGATATGACATGTTTGATATTTTGAGCTGATTTTAATACAAATAGTTTTCATTTGTCATGCATATCCTAGAAACGAAACACGTTTCTGTATGAGTTTATGTTTGGAAAGTCTTGAAAGTCTGGTAGTGTTTGATCCTCAGTTTTTTAGTGTATGATGCCCAGTTTTTCTCTGTATCCACTTACAAATTCGGCAAGTGTATGATGCCTAGTGTTTTAAAATCTGTCATGTAGTGTATTCTAAGATTAATCACCAAGTCCCTCTAAACCTCTAAAATACTAGTTTTACTGTTAATACTAACTTCCTGAAGATTATTTCTTGTCACATGTGAATTCACCCACTTCATTCACTGTTGCCTTCTCTCTGTGTGTGTTTGCACTGTAGTCCTTTACACGGTAGGAAAGATTCTGCACAGATGCAGACAGACATCCAGAGGTACCATCAGTGAGTTAGTGAGGTCACCTGTCCATGTGTGTGTGGATAGAAGGTTTAGTGAATAGCACGAATATGTAGTTAGTTTCTCCCTAGCCCAACCCTAAGTTTACCACTGTTACATATGTCGACTTCCTCTCCTCTGTAGCAGCCGTGACAGATTTCCTGTAGCTCCTGAATGTGTTGTTAAATGAATTTCTGCATTGGGATGAAATATACAGCAGGTATATTGTGTAATGAGATAATTGGTCCTGTTTGGTGTTTTGTATGCTGCTGTCGTCTGGATGGTTTTACTGGTAGGTTAAAGAGATAACACAACGGTTTGAGCTCTTAGTTCAGTAGCTTGGGTCAAAGGGAGAGTGCTGATGAAGCATCATTTGACATTTTATTGGAATTTTTGGACCTCACTTTCAACCTGCTGAACTAGAGAAACCCTTTGAGTAGAGGGTTTATTTTACACATAAATTTGGTCACAGATTCCAGTGCTGATTTGATAAATAGATATTATTATTAATATTACAAAGAATTGGTGAGATTTGAATTAATATTAATTGCACAGTTATATTTAATAAATATATTTGAATATATTAAATATAATTAAAAATTATACTTGTACTATATACTGTATATAAAACTGTTCCAAGTTTTATTCATTTCTTGTGGTGTAAACTTGTAATAGGAAAACATTAGTTTGTTCAACCTTAATATTATGCGGTTATAATGAGGAAAAACAAATATGCAAGGGATGTTTTGATGGAATGTGAGTGTATATATTTGTTTCCTGAAATGAGATGTTTATGGAGTTGGTTTACTTCTGATATGTCATCAGCACTCTTGCCCTGAAACACTCACTTCTACTTATGAATTTTTGTTTTGAAACCTGTTTTGCTGTGATTGTTGCCTGTGTTGGTGTGATTTGCATTTCCTTCTGTTTAATAATGATTTCATGCCGCTTTGCCTCAACATTACATTCATTAAACATGAGCAGTCAGTGAGATTACACTGGCTGGCTTTGGGAAATTCACCTCCCTTCATGAATTAGAGGTGAATTAAACCCATATATCACAAATGCGAATACTGTGTTTAGTTATCCAGATCGAATCTGTGCATGATCAGAAATATCTGAGGTCTCAAAGCTTCCACCATTTATGTCAGTGACTTCTGTCCCACAGATGAAGATCGACTGCCCCGTAGGAAGAGTTTTGTCGACACTATTTCTCTCCAAGTTGACATCCTTTCCAACAGCTTGCCTGATCAGGTACACTGGACACAATTTAAACATGCTTGAGTTGTTCATCATGAAGAATTAGACTAAAGAACATATTTGTGTGTTTATCCTGTAGTCTCAGCTTGCAGAGGAGATCACGTTTGAGACCCTGAAGAAGGCCATCGGTACGTGTGGATTAGTCTGCTCAGTGTGTGTTTGTGTGCTAGCGTCTGATGTCGCTCCATCTCTCTCAGATACCACAGGTCTGGAGGAACAGGAGAGGGAGAGGAGACGGCAGGTGATGGAGAAGTTCCAGAAGGCTCCGTTTGAAGAGATTGCCGCCCACTGCGAGTCCAAGGTACAGCATGTGTGTTCTGCCAATCAGCTTGTTTGCATTTAAAACAAAGCACTGGGGAAAACCAAGAATGTGCCAATATGATAACAGATAATTTTTTATAGTTTTAGCCCAATAATCTATGTATTGGCATGCATGCACTATTGTTCAAAATTGTTTTTTGTTTAAGAAAATTTTTAAAAACTTTTATTCAACAAGGACGCATTAAATTGATCAAAAGTGACAGTAAAGACATGGATAATAGTACAAATAAATGCTGTTCTTTTAAACTTTATATTCAGTATCTTAGAAATAAATGTGTCAAGATTTCCACAAAAATATTAGGCAGCACAACAATTTTTAACATTGATAATAAGAAATGTTTCTTGGGCAGCAAATCAGCATATTAGAATGATTTCTGAAGGATCATGTGACATTGAAGACTGAATTTAATGCCTGCTGAAAATTCAGCTTTGCCATCACACGAATAAATTACATTGTAAAATATATTAAAATAGAATATAGTTATTTTTAACTGTTTAATATTTCACAATATTATCCTTTTACTGTATTTATGATCAAATAAATGCAACCTTTCAAAACCAATGACGCCAAAGTTTTGAATTGGCCAATATATAATAATATTAGATACAAGTAAATATATATAAGGTTAGTTTTTGTAAGACATATTTACTCTACCAAACTCTGCATTGAATAAACCATTTCCTGTCAATGTGCAAAAAATATGGGGGTTTGCTTAAACCATTTCTGACTTTTCCTGATTAAAGAACTCTTTTTAAGATGTAAGATGACATTACACATCATTGGCATATTAAGCATAATTGGTGTAAGATTGTGTTGTGGTAATAAGGAGCCCGTTGACGCAGCATTTGAACTTCCTGTGTGTGTTTTCAGGCCAACATGCTGCACGATCGCTTGGCTCAGATATTTGAACTCACCATTCGGTATGTTGACATTTCATAAAGTAGAATATTTACTTGTTATAATGTTTGTCATGTAATATTTTTTCAGTGTGAAGAACTGATATTTGATTGGTTGTTTTGTCTATTCATCTCTAATCAGCCCTCCCCCGAGCCCATCGGGCACCGTGATGGTGACGTCAGGCCACGCCCAGTACCAGTCTGTGCCAGTCTACGAAATGAAGTTCCCTGACCTCTGCGTGTACTGAACCACGACCTTTCACCTTAACTCTATCACACAGACTCAACCTTGATATGTGACCACTGACCATTATCACACTTTATGTTTGGTCCTCTGACCTTAAACTCACCTGAGCCACTCATCTTCATTAGACACCTTTCACTATGAACGTCACTTACATTCCTGTCCAGCAGAAAGAAGGGGTGCAGACTGGACGGCCACTTCATGCCTCTATTCTACACCAGTCAGCACGCAGAGCTTTACGACCAGCTGTCCAGTCATACACCAGCTCTGTAGAATCATGTGAATCGTATGTGTGTGGTTTTCACTTTGATTCTTGCACTAAACGGCAGCTCCAAGAATCAAACTGAGTCTTTTAAACACTTGATTCTGAGTCTTTTAAACACTTGATTCTTCAGCTTCTTAATCTGTTGATTCAAAGGAGTCATTTAGAAAATGACTCACTCTGGATTTATTAAGGGAACTTAATTGCTAGCATTAGCTTAAGGTGCTAGTTTATGTTCATTAACTCTCATTTCTAAACCATCATCAGCAGAGAGATTTGAACATACGATAGATTTCTGCTCGCTTAAATCTCCTATATAAATGATTATAGTGTACAGTATCGCACAGTATAGTATAGGCTATTTTTGACAAATATATATATATATATACTTTTAGATGAAATGATTGCTGATAGTTTCAGAGTGTTATTTGTGTTCTGTTTGCATGGCTTAGCCAATGTTTCACTGCAAACGTGTGTGAGTTTAGGCCTTTATTTATCTACAATTAGCCTTTAACTTCAATGTTGTGGATGTCAACGGGGCTTTTGTTCATCCAGAGTTCTTAGTGATCACTATGCTCTCCATTTTGCCTTCACTGTATAGAGAAACCAAATCATTTGCTTTTCATCACCAAAGAGCTCCGCCCACGCACTTCCTTTATGGCCACACATGGCCACCAATCAAATCTTGAGCCAATCAGAAACTGAATTCTCTTTGAGGGCGGGAACACCACAGTGTTCTTGAACTCAAACAGTTTCTAGCCGAAAAATGATGGATTATCAGTGATAAAATGATCTGCATTCATCAACCAGCTGTTTTTTTTATCGAGCCACAAGGACGTTGAAATGCTTTTCTGCTTTTCAGGTGACTTCATTCATCTACCTTGGACAAAAAAAAAATGTGTGTGACTGTTAGATGCTGAAATACTTTGCTGGAAATGTTTCACATCATCTGAGCTTCCTGTGGTGAGAGCTGTGATCAATTTCAGTTGCTTTTAGCTGGTAGAAACGTGTCTGTGCGGGACCATTTAGGACATTTTGGTTGATTCTGAGGTGCTTTTCATGGTTTCTGGGGGTTTGTTGTCATACGATTGCCTTGTCTTTGTTTTCTGAATGTATTTATGTGGATGGAACGGCAAGTGAGCGAACGGGTGTTTATTCTGCAGATTTGTATGCTGATTATGGATTCTGTAATGATGATGCAATGCTGTTGCCATTTTTTTGGCCTGAGAAATGTTTCAATGGTCCGACTGTTTGTGTCCAGAGACTTGCACTGCATTGTGGGATTTGTACACACAGAAGATAATGAATGAAAGCATTTAAAGGTCAAACCTCAGAGATGGCTTGTTCTAAATACTCAATAGGATCGATTTCATGTCTCCTATATTTTCCATAAAATCTGAGTTGATGGCTACAAGATGGCAGATTTACTGCCTTGTTTCTGATCTGTCTAGTCTATTAAAGAAAGTCTGAAGTGTTAAAGGAAGGATTTCAGTGACAAAATGTTAGTGGACACTAGGAAATAGTCAGTAGTTGACCTTTGGCTGTTGTGTATTTCTCTCAGTAACTTGCTGCATTTCAATAGAAGTTGCTTTGCGATAATAGCCGTAAAAACTGTGATGAAATCAGGCACATTATTTCTTTAGAAATATAAAATCATAAATAATTTCTAGATTAATGTAATATATTTTTGGTGTAATATAAAATAGGAATGTGTTGTTTCTCTGACACATCATCTGTAATGCACCTTTAGAGATTTGTGTGTGTGCATGTCAAAGGGATTCAAAGGGGTTGTTTTTACATCAATGAAGGGAAATCTTGTTAAGGGTCTTAACTGTAACTGCTAATATAATTTTTAGTGTAATTCACAATATAGGTTTTATTTTCATCCTCAGTGGAACTTTACGGTACTTTAGTATTTATCACATGGTTTGTCTGAACTGATCTTTAGTTCGGTTTTATCTGTAACTTGACTGTTTTTTTTTTATTATTTTTGTTCTGTTTTATGGGTGAGAAGTAAAGAATAAGATGAGTTAGGTTTCAGGTTGATGGTGATGTGTCAATATGAACAGAAATGGTTTTGCAGTCTTCCGTGTGAAGATAGTCCAGAGGATAGGCATATGTCTACATGCATCACGCTAGATTTGAAATGTGTAATGGTATGAACCACTGCAGTGTTGCTACAGATAATAAAAAGTTATCATGAAATCTCCAGGTGTCAATTAGCCATATCCAGGTTCGCGGTCTGACAGTGTCTGCCACATTAATGTGCAATGAGATTTTATGGACGAGATCTTAAAAGTCTTAATAAATATTTTGTATTTAAATAATGTTTCTGTTGTTTTTTGTAAATTCTCATTACTGTAATACAGTAAAGAAAAGTTATTGTTGACCACAACTAAACAATGTCAATTAAATATCAGTCTGTGCAACAAACAAACAAAAAAAAAAGTTCCCTGACTTATTCTCAGTGGATTTAAGTACAGACTAAGTATCCACTACACTTAAGGCCATGATTTTTTTCTAATTAAAATCAGATGAATTCAATACATAAAAAAATAACATGATGATACTTACAATTATACTTAACAAATGCACTTTTAAATAATATTTTAATAATGTATAATTTATTTACCATTACAGTGCTGAAAATTATATTTTTTTGCATTAGGTTACAGTAGGCGACTGAGAATTGGGGGAACATTCATAAATATTAATGTTTCTACAAACAGGCTTCTTTTTCACTTTATGCAATTATTTAATCTAAACACTTGATTCTGAGTCTTTTAAACACTTGATTCTTCAGCTTCTTAATCTGTTGATTCAAAGGAGTCATTTAGAAAATGACTCACTCTGGATTTATTAAGGGAACTTAATTGCTAGCATTAGCTTAAGGTGCTAGTTTATGTTCATTAACTCTCATTTCTAAACCATCATCAGCAGAGAGATTTGAACATACGATAGATTTCTGCTCGCTTAAATCTCTCCTATATAAATGATTATAGTGTACAGTATCGCACAGTATAGTATAGGCTATTTTTGACAAATATATATATATATATACTTTTAGATGAAATGATTGCTGATAGTTTCAGAGTGTTATTTGTGTTCTGTTTGCATGGCTTAGCCAATGTTTCACTGCAAACGTGTGTGAGTTTAGGCCTTTATTTATCTACAATTAGCCTTTAACTTCGATGTTGTGGATGTCAACGGGGCTTTTGTTCACCCAGAGTTCTTAGTGATCACTATGCTCTCCATTTTGCCTTCACTGTATAGAGAAACCAAATCATTTGCTTTTCATCACCAAAGAGCTCCGCCCACGCACTTCCTTTATGGCCACACATGGCCACCAATCAAATCTTGAGCCAATCAGAAACTGAATTCTCTTTGAGGGCGGGAACACCACAGTGTTCTTGAACTCAAACAGTTTCTAGCCGAAAAATGATGGATTATCAGTGATAAAATGATCTGCATTCATCAACCAGCTGTTTTTTTTATCGAGCCACAAGGACGTTGAAATGCTTTTCTGCTTTTCAGGTGACTTCATTCATCTACCTTGGACAAAAAAAAAATGTGTGTGACTGTTAGATGCTGAAATACTTTGCTGGAAATGTTTCACATCATCTGAGCTTCCTGTGGTGAGAGCTGTGATCAATTTCAGTTGCTTTTAGCTGGTAGAAACGTGTCTGTGCGGGACCATTTAGGACATTTTGGTTGATTCTGAGGTGCTTTTCATGGTTTCTGGGGGTTTGTTGTCATACGATTGCCTTGTCTTTGTTTTCTGAATGTATTTATGTGGATGGAACGGCAAGTGAGCGAACGGGTGTTTATTCTGCAGATTTGTATGCTGATTATGGATTCTGTAATGATGATGCAATGCTGTTGCCATTTTTTTGGCCTGAGAAATGTTTCAATGGTCCGACTGTTTGTGTCCAGAGACTTGCACTGCATTGTGGGATTTGTACACACAGAAGATAATGAATGAAAGCATTTAAAGGTCAAACCTCAGAGATGGCTTGTTCTAAATGCTCAATAGGATCGATTTCATGTCTCCTATATTTTCCATAAAATCTGAGTTGATGGCTACAAGATGGCAGATTTACTGCCTTGTTTCTGATCTGTCTAGTCTATTAAAGAAAGTCTGAAGTGTTAAAGGAAGGATTTCAGTGACAAAATGTTAGTGGACACTAGGAAATAGTCAGTAGTTGACCTTTGGCTGTTGTGTATTTCTCTCAGTAACTTGCTGCATTTCAATAGAAGTTGCTTTGCGATAATAGCCGTAAAAACTGTGATGAAATCAGGCACATTATTTCTTTAGAAATATAAAATCATAAATAATTTCTAGATTAATGTAATATATTTTTGGTGTAATATAAAATAGGAATGTGTTGTTTCTCTGACACATCATCTGTAATGCACCTTTAGAGATTTGTGTGTGTGCATGTCAAAGGGATTCAAAGGGGTTGTTTTTACATCAATGAAGGGAAATCTTGTTAAGGGTCTTAACTGTAACTGCTAATATAATTTTTAGTGTAATTCACAATATAGGTTTTATTTTCATCCTCAGTGGAACTTTACGGTACTTTAGTATTTATCACATGGTTTGTCTGAACTGATCTTTAGTTCGGTTTTATCTGTAACTTGACTGTTTTTTTTTTATTATTTTTGTTCTGTTTTATGGGTGAGAAGTAAAGAATAAGATGAGTTAGGTTTCAGGTTGATGGTGATGTGTCAATATGAACAGAAATGGTTTTGCAGTCTTCCGTGTGAAGATAGTCCAGAGGATAGGCATATGTCTACATGCATCACGCTAGATTTGAAATGTGTAATGGTATGAACCACTGCAGTGTTGCTACAGATAATAAAAAGTTACCATAATCTCCAGGTGTCAATTAGCCATATCCAGGTTCGCGGTCTGACAGTGTCTGCCACATTAATGTGCAATGAGATTTTATGGACGAGATCTTAAAAGTCTTAATAAATATTTTGTATTTAAATAATGTTTCTGTTGTTTTTTGTAAATTCTCATTACTGTAATACAGTAAAGAAAAGTTATTGTTGACCACAACTAAACAATGTCAATTAAATATCAGTCTGTGCAACAAACAAACAAAAAAAAAAGTTCCCTGACTTATTCTCAGTGGATTTAAGTACAGACTAAGTATCCACTACACTTAAGGCCATGATTTTTTTCTAATTAAAATCAGATGAATTCAATACATAAAAAAATAACATGATGATACTTACAATTATACTTAACAAATGCACTTTTAAATAATATTTTAATAATGTATAATTTATTTACCATTACAGTGCTGAAAATGATATTTTTTTGCATTAGGTTACAGTAGGCGACTGAGAATTGGGGGAACATTCATAAAATATTAATGTTTCTACAAACAGGCTTCTTTTTCACTTTATGCAATTATTTAATCTGTTTTATAATTTTATTTACTTTCTTTTTTTGTGAAATATGATTTCTTGATATTTTTCATGAGATTCACCTAGACGTTTTTTGTTGTTAACTTAAACTAAAACTATTAAAAACATTTGTCAATTGAAATAAGCTAAAATAAAATATAAATATTAGATTTAAAACTTAAAAATTAAATGATGTATTGAAAATGTATTAAAATAAGTTTAAGCTGAATTACAAAAATACTAAATTAAATAAAACAAATTTTTACATAAAAAATGCCTTTATTTTTTTATTACACAGACATCAGATACATCAAATAAAAAATACTGAGAAATATAAAACTTCAGCAGCTGGCATTTATTATCCAGCACACAAGCGCAGCCTTTTAATTGGTCAAACACCAGCAGAAGAGGAGCAGCAGATCTTGGATGATCTTGACCGCTGGATACTGAGTGAGTTCAGACTGAGCTTAACTGAGCTTAACTTTTCGTTAAATGTGTGTCATCTTTTCCGACTGATTTCTCTATCATTGAGAGCTCCCTGACAATTTCAAAATTATAGAACCGCCTCATTCTATTGCTCCAATTCTTCTTCTTCTTCTTCTATTTCTTTTTTTTCCTCCTCCTCTTCTTCCTCCTCTTCAGGTGTGTGTGGCTGAACATGTGTGTTTGATTGGTTTTGTGTGTTCATTTGAGGCCGGGCTGGGGTCATTTCATTGCTCTCCTCACTGGAGTCCTGATTGGCTGATTGTGCTGAAGAATGAGACTTACGGTGGGCGGGGCCCAGAACACGAGGAGGTGACTGAATGGATGAAGGTTGAAGCTGCCATGCACTCGGCAGTCGAACGATCGCAGACGCACTGCAGTCGATCACACACACTCACACCTGAACCTGCAACATATACACATCACAATCATTAACACAAAACTGACCTCCAAAGAAAATGTTCATATGTTTTTTTTTGCATGCATTATGTGCGTCTGTGTAATGCCGTACATTGAGGTTTTCCTTTGTGGCAGCTGATGTGAGCGTTGAGTTTTCTGTTTTTCCTGCAGCCCAGAACACTGAGCTGCTCCAAACAGCACTGCTGCAGAAAACAACACCTGACACAGAGCCACGTCAAGGACAGTCAGGACACACCAGAGCTTCACTGAATTTAATTGTCTGTGTGTACGTGTATATATACACAGCCAGTCAATAGCTTGGACACCTTATTTTGTGTTTCTTATGATCTTAATAGCCTTTTGATTGCTTAAATGCTTGGAAAGAAATGATTGATTTCTTTATAACACTTAAATACTGGATTTTAGTTTTTATGAATACTAGTTATAGATTGATTCAAAGGTTGGGGTCGGTTATATTTTTTAATGTTTTTGAAAGTCTCTTCTGTTCACTTGCATTTATTTGATCAAGTATTGTCAAACGGTTTACAGTAAAACAGTAATATTGTGAAATATTATTACAATTTTAAATAGGTATTTTGTGTTTAAATATAATAAAAAATCTAACTTATGCAAAGCTGAATTTTCAGCATCATTACTCCAGTCTTCAATCTCACATGATCCTTTAGAAATCATTTTAATATGATTTGGTATTCAAGAAACATTTAAGAAAGATGTTCAAAACAGCTGTGCTGCTTAAAACATTTGTGGAAACGGATACATTTTTTCAGGATTCTTTTATGAATGCGAAGTATTTATTTAAAATAGAAATATTTTGAAACCGTATAAATGTCTTTACTGTCACTTTTGATCAACTTAATGCGTCCTTGCTATATAAAAGTATGAATTAAAAATAAAAAAAAATCGTACTGATACCAAAAATGTGATAACTGCTTATCCTAACTGAAGCCAGCAGTTTTTCTAGTAAAGATGTGTGCGTTTGTGTGCAACTTCTGACCGGTCCAGTTGGTCCACTGGGTTTCCTGTCCCCTGCTGTCCACAGTAGCAGGCGTAGTGTTGATACTCATGTGGACATCGTCCGGTCAGACAGTACAGCATTTCT